TAGTAGAATCCATGCAGAAACTATTTTAACATCATGGGGCTAAAATGGGCTTACTTTTTGGGAATTGTCAGGCATTTTTTAACTGTTTATTTCACAGTCACATTCCAGTTACAACCTGCCCATAAAAATTGGAAAATACAGCATGGAAGACATTATTATGTATTGAGGTATTCATGAGAATGTTTGATGTGTGTATTTGGGAGGGGGTGAGGAAGAGCATCAGCAAGGAAGTGTTTTTCCTTACACTTGCAAGACATGAACCAGTGAACTTCTTGTGACTGGGAAATTTATGCCAGCATATTGCAGAAAACCAAGTTTCACTTATGAGCACAGTGATCCCCCAGCTTCAGGTGTCAGGGGACAATAGAAAAGAGATTTTTGTGATTGATAATGCACAGTTGACTGGACATACCATAAAAGTCAACATCCTGAGTCATGTTTTATCAGTGTGGTGGTAAAGTTATTGATATTTCCGAGTATTATTTGAGAATAATAAGTAAAAGAACAGTCCTTTCAACTGGGAGTTTGCAGTCTGTTTTTTCCCCCTCCCCACTGCTAATTGATGGCAATACAGGTTATACCTGGTAATAAATGCTCCATGTCCTTACCTTATTTACTCTGAGTCCTTCTTGGAGCTATGTCAGCTAACAAGCTACTGAAGAAGTCTGTCCCTGTTGGAGATGGATACCTGAATTTGTTAACCTCACAAGGACCATTTTTCTTGACTCTTTTATTTTATTTATTTTATTCCCTGGTGCAACCTATATCAGAATGATTACAGGCTGCAATCACTTAGCAGAGCGTAGGGGGAGCAGAGATGGTGACACTGTCCACATGTTGTCTCACTGTGATGACAGGTAATAAAGCTCCTGTCTGACCTGTTCCAAATTGTACATGTGTTATTACACACTTGGGTTGTCCAGATCTCTCACACCAACCTCTAGCCCCAAACTTTGATAGTAAAAAGGTTTTTATGATAGAAAAACAAGAAAGTCACTTGTATATTAAAAAGAAAAATCTGCTTTGTTTTCCCCTATTCTTTTTCATTTTTAAGTCTTTTAGAGGTCTTTTAGAGGCATTTCACTAACCTTCATCTTCAAGAATTCAAGCAGCTTTTTTTAGCCCAAAGGAACAACTTTCAAAGTTGTCCCTTTCTATTACATACAATACAACTTACTATTTTTCTTAGCAAGACCACATCCACTCTCAACAGAAATATATTACTTGGAATTTATAGTGTAAGAGTCATCATAATGAACCCACACTAGTTTACTATCACTTACACACAGCCCCAACACATTATATAAATGATGTGAGGTAGCTTGTCTATCTAAATACTAAAATCTACCCTGCTGCTTTTGTTGTCCTGCCCTGTGTTGCGTAGGATAATGATTGCTGCAGCTCCTGAACCAGTGCTGTTGTCACTATACATGTACCTATAACTACACAACATCATCTGCTCAGACAGTATGGAACTGGCTACATTTTAGATTTGTAGATGTTATCACTTATGATTAAAATATTTATAGTCTTGAGGTACAACCCATAAACATGAGAGTTTATGCTCATGCATACCAACATTAAAAAAAACATCCTTTTATCTTTAAATTGAAAGGTCTCAGTTTAAAGTAAGTACACTTTTCTTTAAAAATGCAATTTCTATTCATGGCAATGACAGTCTGTTCTAAGGCCTAATTTTGCTCTTGCTATTCTCAGATGTTAATGGGTTCAAAAGTGCATTTTGCCCAATAAATCTTCACATTGTACAAGTCTTTCAGAAAAGAGGGTTTGTTTGGTGTGTTGTGGTTAGTTGTTTTTTTTTTAAACTTGGGAGCTTTTTCAGTTTCTACTGTATTGGTTGAAGCTTTCCTGAATTACTTCCAGTAGAATTTTTAGTTGTGAATTGCAAACACAATATTTTCTGCATTTGTGTTATTTCATCTAAAGCTGATAGACTGAGTAAAAAAAGCAGAAAAAGGAGTTTCTGTCTTACAGTTTACAAACAAACTCCCAAATGGACAAGAGAAACAACAGTTGAATCTGAAAATTAAAGAATATATAGACATACTTGTGACAATATTCTTGCATGTATGGCTATGGCTGCTTTTCAGAAGTGCCTTGGCATCTTAATGGCACTGATTTTGATGGGGAAAAAGCAGCTGGCCTACTGCAGTAATTCTGAAATCCCACAAGGTAATGAACTGCTTTATTAGGCAGCAAATACCTTTAGAAGTGAGGCCCATGATGACCAGAAGCAATATGTTACTTCACTAACTACAGTTAATATTTCTTTTGCATAATAATGTAGTTTTCAATAGAAAAAGTTTTAAATAGCCTAAAAACTTAATTTTTATGAAACAGCAATAAGGGATCATTTATTTTACCTGTAGAAGTGATTATAACAGGCTCTTTTTTTGTAGTTTTAAAATTTTTGTTCCATCTTTCGTTTGAATACTGCTTATAAAAATCTTAAGACAAAAATATCATCAGGAAGTGTGTCCATTGTTATTACTTGACATATCTGTCTATCTATCTATCTATCTATGTATCTATCTCTCTATCTATCTATCTATCTATCTATATCTGTACAACTAATCATCTGAGTAAATGTACATGGGACAGATAAAAAAAAATGTGAACAAGTTAAAAATACCAAGTCCAACATAGCTATAACAAAAATTGAAAATGATTGTGCCAATCAATGAAGATTAAACTTTGTGGTCTGCTCTGGTGGTGCCCATAGTTAGAGCTGCTGTAGAATGCAGTCCAAGCAGGGTTGGAGCCCAGCTGTGCAGCCAGCAATCCAGGACACTGCCAGTTGCATCCCCCTGGGCAAAGGGAGCACAGCCTGTCATGGGCAACAGCCTGGAGGGGCTGCAGTACACACAGGCCTGCTGAATAACAATCCAGTTTTCACTTCTTAGCTTCAAAAGGGACTTTCATTTTAGTAAATCACTCAGGGTTATTTTTTTAAATTTTATTCCTAATGACATCTTTTTGGGGGTACAGAAAGGTAAAAATCAAGAGACATTTACTATTTGTACAAATACTCCATGCTTACTGCTTCTAAGGAGCAATTTAAAATGATAAATGATTATTCTATAAATAAGATATAGACAGACAACTTACTGGACTCCTTCCAATAAACACTGAGACATGCACCAAAATATCAGAGTGCAATTACTTTCATTTTGTATTCCAATTAATCTGAAAACAACTGAGTCTGTAAAGATCGCATCCTGCTAATTTTTACTCACATGGACCCCAACATTATTTATAGAACTGGTTGTCCTCTGTTTACTTGATTAAAATATGGACTAAATCAGGCACTGCTTTTCCAGAAATAGTTCTTGACTATGATAATTTGCCATCTTCTGAAATATTCTTTATTTAGCCAAAACACAAGTGCATGTTTTACTTCATGGCAATACTTTAAACTTCTGTGTGCTTTAGAACCAATGACTTAACTAAAAAAACCTAAACAAAAAAGCCATTTTAATATGTATCTGAAGGTATAGTCTCTGGTGTGAACCCATGTTCTGATATTCCAGAGACGTTTGGTTGTTTGACCACAGTGGTTTTCCAATAAGCATAATCAATTTTTTTGTTGTTTTGAAAATCAATTTATAATGAACTCATCTTCACCTTTGACATTGCTTCAGTCAGGAAAAGGATATGTGGCTGTTGCAGAAATATAACTGTAGCAATGACTTTTCTGTCTTTATTATTTATTTCAAAACCTGCTTCCTTCTTCCTTTAAAATGGAGATTCATTTTTGCATATTTGAAGTCCTCCATGAAGGGGAAAGAAATCACATGAATCTTAAAATGTTTTAAGATATTAAAATGTTAGCTAAGAATATAGTATTAATGTAGCATATTTTAATAAAAAGCTTTTAGTTCTCATAAAGGATTGGAAAGTTTAAGGAAGAAGCTTGATTGCACTTCCCTGGAAAATACATTGTAAGTGATGGAAGAGAAAAAAAAGCAAAACCTGAGCTGTGGGACAATCAGATCAGGCCAAGAACTTTCTCCACCCCTGGAGCCGTTGGGTAGGTGGGGTACAGACTTGATGAAAGTTGGTGCAGTGTGTGGGCTCGTGACAGCCCTGCTTTGGTAGGTGGGCTCTACCTGCACAGACAAAACCACTGAAGACAGGGATGTCTGGCCTTGGTGGCCAGTGTACCACAGAGCTCTCCTGTGGAAGGAGGAAAGATACAGCTTTTGCCTGCTCCTAATCCCCCAGCTTCCCGAACACTGAACTAATTAATTATGCCTGTAATCCTCTCCTCCTCTGTCAGTTTAAGTCTTCTCTTCTGACCTTGTTCCTCCCTCTTGGCCCCTTCTTCACTGGCACCATGCTTCATTCAATGCTTAATTACTCCAGTGCACTTTGTGTTCTCTAGTTTGAAGCCCCTGCTCTTTGTTTTGTCATATTCTGGTAATGCAAATAATCCTCTTCCTTTGAAGGTATTTGTATTCTGTGATCTTGTCTCCCCTGAGCCTTCCCTTTGGCAGACTGTAGAAACTGAGTTTCATCTGTCTAACCTAAGTCACTAGATACCTTTTAATGATGTTTTCTCTGTGTTTTCTGTACTTTCACGGCACTTTCAAGCTGTGGGGAACAGAGTAGACCCAAAATAAGGTCCCAGTGCACTTACCTACATAAAGCATGCCATATCCTGTATTATTTTTACAAAATAACAGTGTACAGTAACTCCTCCCTCCTGAATTTTTACTGCAACTCTTCATGTGAAGGAAAGTACCAAGGAAAAGGGGTATCCATTAGCCTACCAACAATTTGTTGATCTGTACCCAGTCTAAAATATGTAAGTCTGTGCTTCACCATGCAGGGCAGTACTGAGACAATTACTGTTTAGAGACCTGCTACGTGTGCCTTATCTAAACTGCACTGGCTGAACACATTGATTCTAATGAAGTTATCTGTGGCTTGCATTGACTAATTTAGAGTCTTTGTCTTTCCTAAATCTTTTCTTACAGATGAAAAGTTGATGGAGAATCCTGTGACTCATGGCATTAAGGAGACATTGAAGAAGATAACAACCAGAAGGAATGAGGCTCCTTCGTGTCCTGAATCCTTCTCAGGAAGGGACCGTGTAACAATGTACAGAACAAGTTAATTGAGGAAGCTATGGAAGTACGGTGATCAGAAAATGTGCAATGGTCTCTGATGTACAGAGGTACTGTCTACAAGCACTAATGTCTCTGCTGGTTTTCCTCCATCATCTTGTCTGCTATTTATTTTTGATCCTAGTGGTTTAATCAGTTCTACGTGGACTGAATACTTCATATACCTGGAGTTCACGGAGGGCTACAGCAGCAGGTTGCAAGAGGCTCATGGTAATGACTGCCATTCAGCTCTGTGAAATCTGGTTTTATTGAAAAATGTTGTTGCAGATAAATATCTTGAATCACTAGTCATTTAAAATCCCTCTTTGTCTGAGGTGTCTTGTATCCACTAGTCATGACTCCAAAAGTTAAAGAATAAAACCTGTGCCAAAAAAATACCTCACTTTTTTTCTGCACTTCTCAGTGTTTAGTGAGTATTTCTGGAAAAATAGAAGTAAACTTAGGACAATGCTTTTTCCAGAATACTTATTTATCTCAGCACTTTCTCATTTTGCTTTAATGTCATAAGTGATAATTGCACCCCTTGGGTACCTCTTGGCTGATATCTAAACCACATCTAGAGCTGTTTTCATTTTACTATGAAAAATTGTTTGAAATGAGAGGCTATGGATGCTCTAATACCCGGACCACAAAATGAGCTATCAATAAACCTCTATAATTTAAAAAAGCTAAATGATGCTGAGATTTATAAATACCAAATATAATCTCACTGCTACTGAATACCATAGTATCATTCTGTTGCATTAAAAATAAAGGAGAAAATATTAAAAAAAATAACTTTATGCATTCAGAAATCTCACAGAGCCTAAATAATAACTCTGGTCTTGACTTGGTAGTACACAAAGGATCTACCCTGTGCCACAAGATTTCCCAATAACTTGCTGCTACTAATAATGCTTAATGGTTTCAGTGGAACTAGAATTTCTCCCTAAGAAAGTTACTTTCTCATGCTGTTATTGCAAAGTCCAAACCAAAGAACTTAATCAAAATTATGTTGTGCTTTCTAGCACAAATGGCAATATATTTTGTAGGCTTCTCCATAAGAGGTAAGCAGCATGGATGTCCTAGTCCTCACAGGAGACACAACCTGGGAATCCCACAGGGTGCAGTAGGCATAGTACAATAAGTTGTGATTAATCATCTGACGAGGAATGCCAACAGGCAAATACACTGGAAAACACCATTTGGCTGTAACGTAAGTCCTTGGGGGATAGGTAGGGAAAAAATGAAGGGAGCGCAACAGGTAAACTCATATTTGCAAAACAATCCTCTTCCAAGCCTGGGTCTTGAGTCATAAAGCAGTTCAGGATGTCCACAATTGCCTCCCAAGCTTTGTGCAAGCTCTGCACAGGAATGTGTTCGGTGTGAAAAAGACACTCTAAAATAGAAATACTAATAATTATTCTCCGTCCCTCTCTTCTAATATTATAGACATTTCTAACTGAACAGAGTTGAAATAGTCTTTATATGCTTGTCTAAATAAATTCTGATTTACTATGGAAAAATATGAAGTAGCTTTTCCTTATGTACAAGACTCTGTGGATTCCAAGACTGTGGTATCAAATTCCACATTCTGTTCCATATTCCATTATTTTAATTTCAACACATTAATTTATTAGAGCATGTTGCAGTAATTTTTTTTCCCTATCCTCTTCCTGGAGGAGGGGGTCAAAGAAGAAAGCCCATGCAACCAGAGCTTTTGGCTAAATGTATTTTTTTGACATGACATTTATGAATGATTTTTCCACAATCCTTCGCTTTGAAGATATTTTTTTCTTAAGATTTCTGACAAGAGGTTAATGCAAAAGGTGGCTGAGCAGAGTTATTCCCCAGGGTCTGGAAGCTGTAGACTGCCTTTCCTGCTAGCGCTGAGCCTGCAGCCAGCACACTGCCAGTCAACTGGGCTCTGCCTGGCACCACCCTGCAGTCCCAGCCCAGGGTGTCCACAGGCAGAAAGCACCTGTGCTTTTTGTGCTTTTGAGGTTTTCTCGTTTTTTGCTACAAGGTCCAAAACCATTACATTGAAAAAAAAAAAAAGATCCAAAAACACAATTAAAATTTCATATATTTTATATATTAAATATTAGGTTTTGGTAAACTGAATTACCAGAAAAGTTGTAGATTTTTTCAACTCATTTCATATGCAAGAAGATAGAAACTTGCATGTATCTGATGTCAGCCTTTAACAGGTTGCTTGGTGCAACAGAAAAACTTTGAAAGTGTCTCTAGTCACAAATCTCAAGAATACAAAAGACAATGCCAACAATCTGCATCTCTGATGCAACAGTCCAGTATCTGTTTGCTAAATAATGATACATTGTAGAAGCTAATCCAATGCATACAACTCTAAGAGTGTGAGAGGAAAGAAGCAAAACAAGTATGGTCTGAAATGTGTGCTGGGCGGTCTTCTGAGGAGAGGGAAAAATGTGATAAGAAAATACAATTTTATATTCTGTCCATTCCAGTTCTTTAAAGCCATCTGACCAAAACATCTACTATTAGCTGTCCTATAAAGAAGAATGGGAAATTGGTGGCTAAAATATGTGAAAGGAACAACAGTTTAAAAGCTAATTGCTCTTATTTCCATATAATTCAAAAACATAAAATTGCCTGAGCAAAATGACAGAAGTGATTTATTCCTAGCCTGTGAATAACCTAAGGCTTACTTGTTTCCCTCAGATCCCCCACCACAGCTTAAAAGTCAGCATCCCCTTTTTATACTAGGAAGAATTACTGCTCTCCCCAAAAGCATCCTGGAGAGGGTCTTTGTGGCAGAATATGTTGTACTGTCTCCCCTACAGCAGGGATGTTTGGGGTGAAGCCGAAGGTTCATGGTGCCACAGCTTCCCTCAGTGCTGGTCCATCAACCTGAGTTGCTGGATCTCTGCTTTGTCTCACAAAAGCAGAGGACAGCATCTCCTGCCTTAGCAAGAGACTCCAGTAGCAAGAAACACTGCTGTAACTGGAAGTTTATTTAATTAATTTAATTAAACTCAATACTGTCAGTGCTACATAGCAGGACTTCAAGTTTAATAGCTGAAAAGTTAGGACAGTAAGCATCACTCACAAAAAAGCACACATCGAATGCATTAGTTTGAAAAACTAAAGCAATTTAAAATTACCAGGATAGAAAAAATATTTAAATCTATAGAAGTGAGTGAGTGAAAGGCAGTATTGTCACTGCTATCACAGTGTCATAGGCTCACAGGATAATTCAGGATGAAAAGAATCTCATAAGGTCACTAGGTCAGCCTCCTACTCAAAGCACTGAGCCCAAACCAGGTTGCTCAGAGATATACCCATTTGGGTCCTGAAAACTAAAACCTCCAGAGATGGAGATGCACAGCTTCTCTAGGCAACCTCTTCCACAGTGTGATGGGGAAAAATGTTTCAACTAACCTGAATGTCTCTTATTTCAAATTATGCCTTTTGTCTCTTGTTCTCCTGCCTTGTGCCACTATGAAGAACCCAGATGCCTCTTCTTGCTAAGAACCCCCCCATAGGTGCTGGGGGAGTGCTTCTGGGTCCTCCCATAGCCTCTTCCAGGCTGGCCAAAGAGGTTCCTTCACTCTCTCCTCAAAGGGAAAATGCTCCAGCCCCCACCCAGCCAAGGGGCCTCTGCTGAACTCACTCCAGTTTGCCCATGTTGTTCTTTGTTCAGTATCTAGATAATCCCATCCCTCAAACCACTGACTAATGCAGCCCAGGAGAGTTCCCAGTCGCCTTCTCCTTCATGTGCCAGAAGTGCACTCCAAGAGGACTCACTAAATGACTTCCTGAGGAAACGGTAGGCTGAGCAATCTGCAGTTCCCTGGGTTGATTTTTGTCCCCTTTTGAAGATGAATGAAGCATTTACTTTATGTCAAAGAAGAGAGTAGAGGGAATAAAAGAAAAGAATGGGCCATTTTAAGCTCTGGCTTACAGCTTTTCAGCTAGGTCAGAAAAAATCAGAAAGAATCCTGAAAGATCCATGAATTGTCTTCTAGAATGTGAGAACGACAAATTAGGTCAGATTATGAATCTGCTACATAATGCTAAATCTAATAGTGATCAGATGCCTAGGTTTGGGTATTAGAAAGAATATAAATGAAGGGTTCTCTTGTGTGGAACACCATCTGGTACCCCAGGACAGCATCTCATCTTCAGCAGTCATTGAGTTTGGACTGGTGCAGCTCATAATTGCACCTAAACCACTCTGCTAAACAGTCCTGGTAATCCCATTGTTTACAAACCCATTAAATTCCTTTATAGCTCATTATAACTTTGGTAATAATGAATCACACAAATTATCTGTTATGTTGGAAAAAAATGTTTCCTTTTGTTTGATTGAAACATACAGTTGAGGCTATCCCCTAGCTTTTGTGTAACAGGAAACAATGGGAAATGAACAATTCCCTGTTCACCTTCTTTCCACAGTATGCAGTTCTCTTAGATCCCATCAAAGCTGCTTTCGAGCATTTTCTTTCCTGATGAACTTCCTTTGGGATACATTTCATATGTCCATCTGTCTCTCATCCTCTACCCATGTGTCTCTCCCACAAACACCAGTTTGAGAACTGTTTACAAAACAGTCCACAGATCTCCTGGCAGACTCTTAAGCAAAACACAGCCTCTAGCCAAAGTCTGTGTTTTGGAAACTGTTTTTCTTTAGTAAGTATAGTTTCATTTTTATTTGATTATCTCCATTTGCTAAATGTGGTTAGCTAGCATTTTACAACCACTATATTTCATCAGCTGGAGAGACTCTTGTGCTGTATTTGGAAATGGGAGTGAAACATGTCAGGAATGGCCTTCACCAAGGTCTTTCAAGTTTTTTATATTCAGAGGGCTCCCCACATCCCATGTCAAGGTGACTGCCCAATGGAGGCCATCACTGCTATTCAGGAATTCAGGTGGGAGGCTTTGGCAGAAGACTTGGAGATAGGAAGGGAGAGGCAGAACAAGGATGTTGGGGTGTGAGCGCCAGCACACAGTTCCTGCTGGCATCTGCTCTCTGGGCTGTGGGCATTCTGCCAGAGCCTGTCCACAGTCCTGGCTGCCTCATTCCCTCAGGAACTGGGATCGTGCTTTTCATACTGTCTTTGCCTCTGCTTGGGGCTGTGTGCAGCACCTTTGCCATGCCACCACCAGGTGCCAATTCTTCCTTCTGTATCTGCACTCCGGCAGAGCACAAGACAGTCTTAAAATATTACCCTTGTATTTTAGTTTTA